GTGTCAGAGAGAGGCGCTTCATTCTGACCGAGAGTGTAGGAGTCGGGAACAAGCTGTATGTCTACGTGGTAGAAGTCCATTCACTGTGACCATTGAGGGAATGGCTAGATGTGATCCTTGGATCTTCTCTCCATTCTCTTCATCCAAATTAGGGTCATTGGGGAGCCCGAGCCTATCCTGGAAACACCCCCAATGTAGTCTATGGATGCCAGACCATCTCCGGACAGACAGACACAAACACTCACACTCACACCAGGGCCAGAAGCCACTTAACCTACAAGAACGTCTTTGGACTGTGGGAGGAAAGTGGAGCACCAGGCGAAAACCACACAAAAAGAACATATGAACTCCATACAGAAAGCACCCAAGGAACTGAAACCATGGCCCCTGTGCTGCAAGGCAGCAGTGCTAACTACTAACTACTACTACTCGTGTAGCCCCTTGATCAATTAGCAACAAAATAAGACAAATGGGCATAAAATGTTAAGACAATTATATTAACGGTATATGAAACATGTTCTATGATGATTATGGTAAATCCATTCATTTTTCTTCTCATATTTCTCTATTATTATTATACCTAAAATAATATTTATATTAAAATTATATGAAATAATTGTAAAGTGCCTTTCCAAACCCAAGGATGCACTACATAATGAAAAAAGGCACACAAAAAAACAATAAAATGTAAAAGAAGAAAAATGTTTTTACAGATGTAGGTCATTCTGATGTAGACCTTGATAAAAAGGCATGTTTTAAGTTTGGATTTGAAGAGAGTCAAAAAAGTTGTCTCTTGTTGAGTGTGTAGACCTCTCGTAGAGTAATGCATTACTGCAGTTTAGAAACCATGTCAAAGATAACTCCAATATGGGCTCTTATTACTAATATCTAGAAAAATATGAACCACAGGTCAGCTTCAGTATGCTCAGTGCCCAGCTGTAGTTTATTCGATTTCTTGTCATGAAAGCAAAGAAAAAAACATTACTGTGTTCTGAAAGCATCCAGTGTGGATAAAAACAGAAATGTAGATAAATCCCAACCTACGCGGGCATTTTATTAAGGTCTTAGTTGTCAGAATTGAAAAATGGGAGGTCAGTTGTCCTGCTCAGAGAAAATTCTAACTGACTAAAAAAGCAAGAGTTAGCTATGAGTTTTATGTTTCTATAATTATATGCAGTTAACCAATTCACCAAAGCTCAGGCTTAGCTGGACACTTAGGTCATTTATTATTTATAACAAACTTCATTTTCTCATTAACTTTTTTTTTTGCCTATTATACTTTTAGAGGTCTCTTACTGTACAGTTTCTTAGCTAAGCAGCTATTAATCTGTCACTCTGTTCTCTGGATTTCATTAACAACACTAAGGCACAACAGATTTTTTTCCTTGCAGTAATATTTGGTCAGAATTGGTCATTTTATGAAATACGATTAATGGCATCTTCCTTCTACTTTGAGACAGCCCTGTCTCCTACGTTATGCTACTCAGCAGTTGTACTGCAATGCACTAAAGGTACGCTGGACCTCCCACAGTTTCACAGGTGACGCTAGAAGACATCAATAACAAGAATGAGCAGAGCATTTAGCATGTTGTTGCTTACTAAAGACCCATTTTTTCCATACCACATCAACAAAATTACCGTTATTTCTTAAATAAAGCTCAGCGTGCTACATCTTGCACCTAGAAATACAGTGCTTATGAAGGAAAGCAGTTCCTTAAAGCAGTCTCATACAGTCAAGTGAAGTGATGTTGAAGTCATCCATTCATCCATTTTCTAACCACTTTGCCCAGTACAGTGTGGCATAACGTGGGGGCGTGTTCAGTGTGGAGGCGGAGCCCTGGATTGAGGGTGATGCGTTGCCTTAGCAACCACATCTGCCCTGGCAACCACAGCTGTAGAGGTCTTTTAAGAACAAGCTGAGCACCTCCCCAGCGGGATGAGGAAAACCCCGCAAGGGGAGAACATTCCAGAGGGGACTGTTATGAGAGCGTTTAGGCCTCGTTTTTACTTTTTTTTTCCTCCTGTCCAGCTATGAGGATTCACACTCACCAGGGCAGATTGAGTTTTCTTTTGTTTTGGCCTCACGTTCTCCTTTTCTTCAAGTCTGGACCCCGCTAAACAGGGATAGTCCTGCTGTTCCAAGCAGTCTAACTTTTCCTCCAGAAGGGACCCTGATAAATAGGGACAGTCCAGCCTGGACGCAGCTTTTCCAAATGGTGCGTTTTTCTTTTTCCTTTTTTGGGGGGTTCTTGCAAACCTCACACCGGTGCCTCTTTACTGGTGTTTGCTGTGGCTCCTCCCACTCCCATATTGTTACCACAAGTTGCAGTGGACTGGAAGCCTATACTGGTAAGTAATATGTACAAGGCAGGATACACCCTGGATGGGGCACCGGTCCGTCACAGGCCTCACACAGATGCAACACACACCAGGGCCATTTTTCCCAGAAGCCAATTAACTTACCTGTATGTTTGTGGACCGTGGGAGGAAACCAGAACACCCAGAGGAAACGCACACTAACATGGGGAGAAATTACAAACTCCACGCAAACAACACCCCAGGAATTGAACCCAAGTCCTCAAGCACCCCAAGGTATCAGTGCTAACCACTGCGCCACTGAGCTGCTCCTCCTGAAGCCAGTCTTGGCTTATTACTCACTATATCCTCACTCTTGAGAACATACAGTAGGTTATATATCACCAATTTTATTCAATAGAAACCTTGTTCGTCAGGCTGAAGTATGCATGTTAAAGTACTGTCATTTGCAGTCTTTTGTTTTATGATGAAAGAACATTGCTCCATGCTTGAGCAGTTACGGCCACATAACCTTTCACTCCACTCTGTGATTTTTCGGTTGAATAAGCCTCTCAAGAACATTCCTCTTCTTCAAAGTGCTCACATGAATGAGAATGGATTCCAAGTCACATTTGTCTCCAAAGCCCATTTTAGCCGCTATCTCGTTTTGACATGCACGTATGATATCGGAAATCAAAATGAATTGCGCTGTGTGTTACTTGATGCCTCTGCGCTTTAACAAATGGAAAAAACCCACAGCTATCTCAGGCTGCATGATGAAAAATCCAAGTGTCAAACAGAACAATGTTAAACAGTACAGGAACATTACCAAGGATGCCAAAGATGTTAAAATGGTGAAAAATGAGGGTATTTGCTTTTGGATGTGACACTACAGTATAATTTCTGGCAGTACAGCACTGTCTGGGGCTGTACAGTATACTTCCTGGCACTAGCAGTACAGTATAGTTCCTGTCTGAGGTAGTATAGTATACTTTCTGGCTTTCGTAGTAGCAATGTAGTATACTTTGTAGTACCAGCAGCAGAGTATGGTTTCTAGCTTTGATACTATAGTATACTTCCTAGGACTGGCAGTCAATTATAGTTCCTTTCTGAGATACAGTATTGTTTCTGGCAGTAGCAGTACAGTACACTTTCTGGAGATGTAAGAACATTATAATGCTTCACCTGAGCTAGTACAATATCATTTCTGGCTGTTGCAATGCAGTATAGTTCCTGTCTGAGGCAGTACAGTGTACAGTAGTTTCACATCTCTACCTGCTGTGCAGAGGGGTTGCTGCTGCCGAATGGGTGCTGTTTGTCACTCCAATAAACACTTCAGTGATGCATAAAGTGCATAAAGTGGGTCCCTATCAGCTTGGAAAGTGCTTCAAGGTACTTTAGAATGAAAACTGAACTTCTATACAAAACCAAGGAATTATTAGAAAGAAGAAATGCACGAGGAACTGTGCTGATGTTCTACCAAAACAGCCATCATTGTGTTCGACTATCAATGTCTCCGGAAATTTCTGACAAAGTCATTGAAAAAAATGCCTTGGTTATACAGTATGCTACTTTGGTCCTGAACAAAACAGCATTGTATGTGCAGTTCATAACCAGGTCAGGCCGTAAGGAAAGAAACGCATTAGAGTCATGCTTCTCATAAACAGGCGCTGAGGTGTACTGTGTACTGTCCACTTTCTCTTTGAAACAGGAAAGAATTGAACCTAGGTCTTGGCATTATCAGCCCTGTGCTGAAGCCTCCTGAGCTACCTATTGTACAAGTACAAATTGAGAAATGGTTGGTGAACACCCAGTATAATCATTGCATTTAAAATTTCTTACCATGCTCTTGTTGTCAAAACTGCTTTTTCACATGACCAAAAGTGTTTGTATTTACCACTTTGGTGTTTTGAGACTCAATTGTTTATGAAGCAGAAAAAAAGAATAATTAAAAGTCTGTGTATGTGAAATGATATTTTAACTCCATGTTAGCTTAGCACAATTAAGAGTGTAATTAGACACAGGTGGTTAAATAATGATCAGAAACATCCAGGTTGGTGGGAATATCTCATGCTACTGCTGAAATAGGGATTTCAGAGGTCCTCCAACAAAGAGTACTTGATGATCATCGGTCTGGAGAGGCAAAAAAAAACAATTTCTAAACCATCTGGGGTTCCGAACATTGACTGTTACACAATCTACAAATGAAAAATCACCCTGCCAAGATCTCTTCAAGAGCAACCTGGAAATTCACAAAGCATGTCACAAAAACCCCCAAAGAACAATTTAAGGATCTGCAGGTCTCTCTCTTGCTGCTGATACTGTCAGTGTGCATGCCACAAGCATCAGAAAAGACTGCCAGGGAATGCTCTTCATGAGAGGATAGCCAGGAAGAAACCTCTGGTCTCTAAAGAGAATAGTGACACCCATCTCAGATTCATTAAGAATTTCCTTCTCTTGATCCTTCCTTTTTCTCTTTCTTCCTTATTTCTGCCTGTTTTGTGCTTTAACTGACAGTCCCCTGAGTGTTAATCATTGACTGTGTTTGATCAGGTATAAGGATGGAATTCCATTACAAAGGTCCTCACTTCAGCCCTGGAAGCACAAGATACAGAAAATGTATGGTCTCCACACACTGGAGATCAAAAGGTAAGACAAGGTTCATACACTTTGTATTATGATAAATGTCATAAAAATGATAGTGCTATGTTATGTTAAAAGGTGGTTATGACAGATTATGACTATTGTTATATGACACTGTGTCTTTAATGAGGGTGTTACTTGGGCTGTGGTGCCGTTTGCAAACAAAGCATAGTCAAAATTTTCTACCTGCTGATCTGACCTTTAACGCATAGCTTTTAATGCATTAAAGAAACAAGAGGCATTACATAGATCCGTTCCGCCGAAAAACCAAGCAGCCTTGGTTTTGTGACTAAGCAGACAAGAATTGTGACTTTTTATGTCATAATAAGATCACGAACAAAGAGAGAACTTTTTCATATATTAAGTGACTAGGCATCAGGCACAAAGGAACAGTAGGATAAGGTATGTAGGCTTACCAAGGCTCACAGAATTTCTCCATCGTTGAAAACGACTAATAGTGAAGAAATAAACAGACATTTTCATTTCTTTTTTTATTTCAGATGTACTCCTGATGATTCAGGGGAATACAGAATAGTGATCACAAGTTGCTTGGGCACAGCTTCCTCCTACGCTATGGTCTTTGTAAACTGTAAGGAAATTTATTTTTTTACATATATATATATATTTCACAGCTCGTGAGGTAGACGGCATCATTATAGGCAGAAGTGGTGTTCTCTCCCCAACAAATGGGTTTCAGCATTCACATTTTAACAGTTTTATCTAGGGGTCACGCTCATATTCAGCATCACTAACCAGTATCTCAGCAAGAGAAAAAAACATTTCCCTGCTAGATTTCTTGTTTTGGATTCTCAGTCTTAGGTGTCTGGAGGAGGGATGTCAAAACATTGACAAGCACTCCTGGATGATCATTGATATTATTTCCAAGTTTTTGCTTTTTTTTCCCCTCTCTTTCATATTTCATTCTTTCATATCAAATTCCTCAAGGCAGCTCAACTAGTCCCTCATTTGAGTGTCATTTAAGCTTTAATTATTCAGAGACTTTAACGCATTTCTGTGCTGCCCTACTGTTTTCTGACTATGTTTTAATGTGAGGCTGAGATATGATTTCTCAAAGGAAATAGAAAAGCGTGAGTCTCTCTAACTGACAAGATCTATCAGCCATATTGGCTGCAAGCAATATGCCTCTTATGCCCTTTTATTAAGAAAAAGACAGTTTCCAATTAAAGAACAAAAGAACGAATTGGCCTTCTTTGAAACATTGTAAATGGACAATAACAGTGACATCTACTGAAAAGGGTAAATCCACGATAACAGTGTATTTCTGAGACAATGTTCATACTCTTCTTTAGCATGTATACTTCAAAAAACTATTTTCTTACTGTGAAAGGGAATATTTGATGTGCTTTGGATTAATGTGGCTCTTCTGGTTTGATTCATTTCAGCATGCCATGGTCCGCAGTCAGGATATGACCACACACAAGCCCCAAGTAAGAACATCCTTTCAAATGAGAAATTTCTGTATGGACAATGTATGGAATTTCTGTATGGAAACTGAAACTGAAGAACGACTTTGTCTCTGGCTTTCCTTAAAGCACTCTAAAGTCTTCACTTACTTCAAGTAAAATTTCAAAAGTAAAGAAGTAAATCACAGTTATTATTACTAATTGTAGTACACATGTTTTGATAATGATACACCCTTTGTGTCTATGACTAATAAATTACAGTCAGCCTGCCAGTGCCAATTTGTATTGGAGGCACTTGCAAATAATTATCAAAAGATAGATACTTTATTAATCCCATAAGTGCAGTGCAACAGCAGCCAAGCACAATCAACACAGAAAATTACAAGGTAATAATACAACAATAAAATATTACAATACAATAAATACAGTCAGTGAGAAGTGCAATTAAAAATGGAGTATAAAGAATTGCACACAATACAAAATATACAAAATAAACCAGAATGTAAAGTGCATAAAGAAAATGTATTAAACAGTCCACAAGCATATTGCACAAGTGTAAATATATATTACACAATTATTGATAAATTGCCCAACCCACTTCCACATATTTCTGTGGAAATTGTTCTGTGGCCAGTTGTAAACAGAGGATTCAGGTTTAGTCCCAAAACAGGTCAATATTGCCCCTGCCCAGACACACAATGGATGAGTTGTAAAGTCTTATGGCAGTAGGCAAGACCCTGGTTGGATCAGCCTATTGCTGAACGTGCTCTTCACTCCCACAAGCATGTCATAGAGGGGGTGGGAGACGTTGTCCATGATGGTCATTAATTTGGACACCATTCTCCAATCAAATCCAATGACAAACTTGTTTTTTTGATGAGCGTGTTCAAGCTAACAAAAGCTTACAATGCATTTTTATTGAATATCACAAAGGGCATACTATATATGCAGGTGTCAGATGTCCTAGGCATTTTGATTTTAATGTTGAGGTTTATAGTTAGGGTTGAGGCTGGGCTCTTAGATCCTGATATCTTTCCAACTACTCTTACCCTCAATTGGAAAAAGCAATTTTCCAATGAAACAAAAAAGCTGTTAAAAAAAGCATCAACTTCCAGTTTGCTAAACCTTAAAGGCCTTCTGAAATTTCTTGACCCTTACAGAGCCAGAAATCTGGCTCTGTTTTTTAAGCAAATATTAGTTTGCTTAAAGATACAGATGAGCCACTGAGCAATCGTTGGAAATGAAATGTCTAGGTTCTGGGGTACCAGGTTAGGAAAAATACCAGGCTGTATTAAAATTGGGATTTTGCTTTCACACATGTGATCGATATCAGATATCAGTAGAACAGGAAAGCACAATTTCACAGAACTAGATCAGCAGTAGTCCTAGACTTGCATTTCTAAATTTAATTGTCCAGGGTTTATGATATTTAGGGTAAGTGAATTTACTGGAAAATATTCAGGTGTAATTTTGTTAGTATTTAATCAGACCTTACTGTGAATTAGGGATGCCCCTTGATTTCACCTCAACGGATTAACAGCCCATTCTCATTTGCAATAATGCCAATGTCAAAACAATCCTTCCACTCGGAGTGAATGTCACGTGGCACAGTGAACTTGGAAAACAAGCACATTAACGGAGACAAAATGCAAGGATAAAGCGCATTAGAAAATCCCAACTTTGGCAAATGCCAGTTTTGATCTAATGACTAAAATATCTTCAGATGCTAATCCTCCTCATTTTAATTTCTGCTGAAAAACATTCTAGTTATTAGCTATTGCAAATGGAAATGAAGTCATGCAATAAACAGCACAAGTGCTGCCAGAATACAAAATTGGATTGTCCCTTCCTGGACAAAAAAAGAGATGCTTGCTGCATGAGTGACACCATTAATAGAAATAGAAAAGAAAGTACATAGAAAAAGGTTTTGATTTAAATAACTTAGCCGCTTGTTATCTAGTTGTACTTTGATGCTTAAAAGGCACCTCCATCCTGGAAAAGTCAGTATGACCATAGGAACATGATCACATTTGTGCAATGTCATATAGTAATTACTCATCATAATGGTATCTTCTGATATGCTTTAAAGAACAGGTGGTATTTTGACCTTTCTGTAGAAGTACTTTAAAACTAGGGCCTTCTGAATGGCTGAGCCAGAAAAGGAAGTCTCCTTGAACACAGGATGAGCCCTGTAGTCCAGGAATGGATCAGACTATGTTATTAGCTAGTCGCAATTCCTGTCCAAAAAGCAAAGGATTAACTGAGCCCCAGGACTGAGCATTAGATTTGGCTTGCTGGGCAAAAGTGACCCCTCTAAGACTGTAATGTTGTCTGTGAGAGCTTTATCATTTTTTTCTTTCAATACTAACTCTGCTGTGGGTGCAATAGGGTTCACAGTGAATAAAATGGCAGATGGCTATGACTGTGCACATTTCTGGAGGAAGAGGAACACGGTGCCCACCCTCCTCTTTTCTCACACATGGTACCAGAGCTGAATATCAGATCCACAGTCTGTATTTCCAAGTGTGAGATATAAAATATTTTATTAATTCAAATGTATTACTTGAATGATAAGTACAGTATTACTACCTGTTATGCGGTTGGTTCAACCACATTAAGTGTTTATCTGGAAGGTTGCCAAAGCTCCATATGTAGCTTAAACCTAATATAAAGGCACATAAAAGTATGTGTATATACTTTTATACTACCACTCGCATTCCACACATAATCGATCAGAGATCTGATTGCAACATCAAAAGTTAGGTGCATGGTGATCAGAGAGCTTCTCTTTGAAGATGATGCTCCACTTGTTTGCCACACAGTGTGCTTCAAGACCCAATAAACCAGATGGCCCATGCAACTGTTAATGTCATGTTATAATGAGACGACCCATCCCTGTTGATCACCCTAGATGAACCTTGAACCTGGTCTTATGCGTTTTAGAAAAGATGAGGCTATCTTTTCAGAAATAAAGGAGTTCCTTAAAAAAATTGACCCAATTAGGTGTCTAAACGTTGAACAAAATGTTCATTGTTTTCTGTAAGATAAGAAAGATCACTTTATTGGCCATATACAATTTCTTGTATTAGGAGTTTGTCTTTTAGCATACACCCAACCTAGTCTCTATGAGACACACAGACAGGGAGAGAAGCTTGGGATCAGAGCACAGGGTCAGCCATTTATACGGCCCCCCTGGAGCAGTTGGAGTTAAGGGCCTTGCTCAGGGGCCCAACAGAGTAGGATTCCTCTGTCAGCTGTGGGATACAAACCAGCAACCTTTCAGCCCAGCCACAGGTGCAGATCCTTAGCCACAGCTCCGCACTGCTCCTTTCTGTGGAATGCTGCTTAGAGTCAAATACAGATTTTTTTTTCCCTAAGCAGCTTGTTAAGAATGACATGTCTTTCTTCTATTTCATTTTTCATTTCCTTACATCCATTTCTGGCTAAACCTTCTGTGGACCTTCATCGTCTCACTTAAATGTATCTCCATCTACAACAGAAACACCCATATTTATCATGTGATACAGTACTCTTTCTTTTAATAGCACTTTATTCTCATTGCAATTAATTCACTGAGGTAAACTTGTGAAATGGATTTTCATTGGATTCTGAGCTTACACACAGGATTCTTCATCTTTTTTTTCTTCAGGTGTAACAAACTTTAATAAAACCCAATCTAATTATAGTGCAAGCAGAAGGCTTCAAATGTATGGCTCCCAAGCAGCTCTTAAAAACTGAGGTATGAATTCTAAGATGTAGAATTAGGCAGTGATTAAAATTGTTTTCAGCTTTACATCTGTGCCACATTAAAGTAATGAAGATGGTCTGCAATGTAAGACACTCAATTTATGCCACATCTCAACTTCCAGGATTTTCTCACACTGATTAAAAAATGTCATAGCCCTGCTACGTGCTGTCTATCACTAGGCCTTACAGGTGGCAAAATAGCCTTATAAATATGGAAGACATGTTTCAATGTTGGCTTTCAAAGGCTCCTTCAAATCACAGTTCATTTTTTAACCATTTTAAATGTTCCAAAAACATGTAAAAAAAGACGATTGCATATAGAAGTTCAGAGTATTAAATTTTGATAGGTAGTATCAAACTGAGACAAAAGGCCATAGTCGATAGTCATAGTCCCTTTAATTGGTCTATTTACTTAATTGAGTGAAACGATGGCAGTTCATCCAAGCCCTAGTTAGAGGGTATCTCTCAATTCATTAAACAGAATATATTTTGATGTATAAATCGAAAGATATAGCTATATCTTTAAGCAGGCTTTCGTATGGAACAAAAATATACCAGCAGTGTGTCCCAAAAGACATGGAGATGAGATGATTTTTGCCATGTACAAAAAGGTGAAGCTGGGCAGGGGTAAGAATGATGTATACTGTACAGTACGTGGGTGCTCTAGAGATGTGACATTTGTGTTCAGGTGAGAGGAAAGTGGGTGAGAACCACCTCTAGAACGTTTCTTTAAATCTGCATTTTATGCTTTCAAACTTGGGCGTACAGGAAAAAAAAAACAGAAAACAAACTTTTGGCCAATCAGTTCTTTATTTGAATGCCCCAAAATTAGTGGAAGGCAGGTCACTCTTACCAAAGTGTCCAGCATTAGAATTATCTTCCTTATCAGCACTCAGCTGTGAATGTAGGTCATCTTTTTTCTTGGCAGGTAATGGCAAGTTTGACTGATCTTGTAGAAACCCAGCCAGGAGGAGTTTACCAATTCCTCTACAAATACCTTGTCCAGAATCAAAGACTCATATACCCTTTCTGACTGTTAGGCTGGCTCCTTCTCTCTATGTTGTCTTGTCCTTGATGCCACCCATAACATTGTTTCCACAACCCCAGTAGCCAAGACACTCTGAAAATCCTCAGCTGAAGCACATAAGTGATTTCCACAAAAGTGATCAATCAGCACAAGGAAGTTGCAACACTGTGACAAAAAGAGTGTCCTGTCCTTTTATGTTTGTTTTTCATTTGGTCTCCTGGGAATTCCAGCTCTCTGTTAGATCTTTTGAGCTACTGTATACTTCTGAAAAAGAAGCAGTAAAGCAGATGTAAAAATTTAAATGTAAGATACTGATTGACTACAAATGTAGTACAAGATGTACCGTAAATACCATATGCTTATATACAACATATGCTGCTCTGCCAAAACACTAGAGAATCGCATGGTCAGTAGGAGTGACCCATAGCTAATTGATATTAGGATCTCCTCCATTTCCTGAAAGAAGCTGTGATAGCATCAGAGAGTTTGATCATAATCACTTCCAAAATAAGACCAAAAACAATCATGTGTAGAGCAGTTTCTTTTGATGTTCAATATATTTATATATCCCCATGTTTCCAAAATGCTTTACATACCATACCTTGCCTGGTGATGGAGATTGACTAGGCTTAGCTAAATTTGTCTGCCACCAAATTGGCTTAGTTGTTCTTAAATTGTAGTGTTTTTATTCTATAGCACTGTAGAAAGGGTGTTTTCTTTCATCTTTAAAGACTGAAAGAAAAACATTACATATGTAGGAATTGTCAATGAAACCATGTGAATACAAATTGTGGTCATAGACAAAAAAAACTAACATGTGAAAAATGTTGTGACATCATTTACATCACATAAATGGCCAACAGTGACACTTTTTTTAAGGAACCCAGATACTGTATTTAAAGGTAGATAGTACTATTTCAACACTTTTTCTATAAGTCATTAATTGAAAGTGTCTTAACATACTTTAACACACTATCTCATGTGTTGGTGTGGCAACATCAGTACTGTGAATTGTAATAGGTGGGGAAAAGTAAAGAAAATAAGTAAAGAATAATTAGGGCAAATCAATTTAAATATTAATAATCTAATCTGGTAGATGGCTCCATGTCCCTGGGTGTAGGAGAAACAGATTCAGGAAATTTGTTTTTGTCCCCACTGCAATATCTATTTCAAACAATGTAAAATAACGCTCATATCTCGTGTAGCACTATTGTCTTTTCTGTTGGCAATGTTTGTTTTACATTTTCTATTGGATTCTACTGTAAAACAAAATCACTGTTCCTAAAGCTATTATTGTACTCCTCTCTAGAAGGTACCCGTTTCTTCTAGAAAGTTATTTTCCTTTTCCTCCACAGTTGCAGCGTCTGAGAAGGAGGCAGATTTTGAGGCAGCCTTCAAGCCGTCTTTCGCCAAAGAGGGAGAAGCCTTCACCCTGTCTTGCGGATTTTCTTCTGCCTTGCTAGCACACCAGCGTGGAATCACCTGGTTTAGAGATGGTCAGTTTGCTGTTTTGGAGGCATGATGTTCTACTGCTATGTCTACAAAGACATTGCACCATGAGAAATTACATGTTCACCTGCCTGTATCAGCTTGCAGGGTCTATGAGGCAGGATATATTAACTGCCAAAGTGGGACTAGCATTCACCAAGCTACAGTCACATTATACTTCTGCCAGGGCTCTGTCAGTAACATAGCTCCCCCTGTGAACTCCTAAACTCTAGTAGGTATGTAGTGTGGTGGATGAGAGACACCCCTCTGTGCTGCCTGTGAAGTGTTAGAAAACAAGTGTTTCAAAGGTGGGAGAGTCAGAGGAGTCTGCCTACAACTCCTCAACCTCCTTTGTGAACAAAACTGCGAGCTGAGACATGAGACATAGAGAACATACAAAGGGCTATTCCAAATCAAAAACTAATTGGCAATTTCAATCATAGATTTTAGTTTAAACATCTATCATCATAAAGTCAGTGATGGTAGCCTGGATAGATTGGACTGAAATCTTGATCGAATGCACTGACGAAATCAGTTAACATTAAATATGGCAGGCCCAGAAAACTAAAGGCTTTCAAGAAAACAAGGCAGTTTATTCTTTTACATGGACTGTGACAGCAGTGCAGTTATTGTGGAAGCTAGAAGGCAATAAAAATATATTAGTTGACATTGCCTACTTTCGCCAGCCATTCTTTTCTCTAATGAATACTATACATTGCTATTCTCATTATGAGTTAGAGGCTGGGAAAAATCGTATTTTCCAGTGTTGAAATTCCTATTTATTTTATTTTCCAATAATGTGTAGAATGCTACAGTGAGATGTCCTTCGTTTATCTTAGGATTGTGACATATAATCAATTGGAAAAGATTGTGAGAGAGTGATTTTGGCTGCCATGGCCTTGTTCAGGTAGTCATTTCAGAAATTAGAAAATTCTTCACTTAACTGAGAGTTAAACACTCCTTAAGTTTTATCCGTGGCACTTGGATAACGAGGGCCATTACCTGCTATTAGCAGAGAATCTCTAGTGCTTTAGTGATCTTGACAGCTTTTCTAACATGAGCTTGTGGGCTCAAAACATGGCTTTTGGCTTGAATAGGAGATTTCCCAAGTTACCCAAATGTTCCGTGTTTTCTTTTGCTCTCTAGGAGTCCCACTCAAAGAATCCGAGGGAATTGAGATCAACACCGGACCTAGTGCAACAACTCTGACAGTGAAGGAGATGCACAAAGAGCATGAAGGCGTCTACACTATCTGCCTGCCTGCTGCGAGTGGAGTCAAGGAGCACAGCGCATACATCTATGTTAAAGGTGGGAGAATCGGCTGCTTATGGTTGGTCACGATTGGTCGATAAAGCTGCACAGATCACTATTCCCAGGGCAGATTCCAGAGAAAACCAGTCCACTTCCTAAAGGGTGTTCAAAGCATGAAAAATACTCCTCTGCTGATGATGAAGTCTTTGCCTACTTGTTATGGAGTACGTCCTCCCATCAAGAGTGGTCTAAAGGATCTACAGTACATGTAACCATATTTTCAAGGAGTAAATGGAATAGTACCTAATCGGCTGAGGATGGAGCAGCCTTGGTGTTTCAAACCTATCCACCGGAGCTTGGTCCATCCTTGGTCAACTGAGGCAGATCCTGTCTGGGCAGGGACCAAATATCAAACCTGTGTCTTTATGTATCCCTTACACAACAATTATCTGTAATTATTTCCCCTAGTTCTTACCATATCTATATGAGGTCAGGACGTATACACCTCAATGCATATCTTAACCAAGACATTATTAATCTACTCCTGAAGCAATACACCACCTCGTCATTTGTTGTTT